CAACCTGACTTTAAATAACATAACCTGTCATGACATGAACATAATCACTGAAATAACTTGAAAATATAAATTTTTGCACGATAACTGAATAGGGCCGTGGCGAGCGCACCGTGCGCCGCCGATGGCGTTAGGCCGTCTTTCGACCAACTCAACTTTTCCCTCGGCAACTCAAGATCAACTAAACATGAAACATTATTTTAAAGCTATTAAGACATTAACTGCACGGACAAACTGGACTATAACAAGAGATAACATAACATGACTTGGAACAACCCGTGGCCATGCGCGACGTGCGCTGGCGACGGCTTTGAGCCAATTCAGGGATAAAACGTTATCTTGCTTCGACCAACATGAAGTAACTGAGTGTAAAATGATTTAAACTGATCAAATAAACGTGAATTGTTCATGAGTTGCCGGACAAAACAAGAAGTTACTCGATCACGACCTAACTAGGCATAACCGAACCTATCATGACATGTCTATGAAATCTTGAAACATGAATCGAACACTACATCCTTAAATTAACTTATTGACATGAAAATGAGTTGAGGATGGATTTACCTCCTCAAGTGCTCGCCGGAAATTCACAAACTGATCGTGACCTCGCGTGCGCGTGCCCGTGTGTGTGCTTCGCTACCTCTAGCCGTGCGTAGTGTACGAAAGAACTAAGGCAACTGCTTGTCTAACTATTGCTGGACTTAAGGACTTATAAGGTACAAATATAGAGCTGCAAAGTTGGGAAAAATTTCCCAAACTCCCACATATAAATAGGGGCCGAACATTGAAGGGGTGATGAGTAGAGGATTTGTGGCTTAATTTAAACTTGACACTTGGATATTAATTAGGAACATTAGGGATGACTAATCCCTCTAATAACCTCCCAAAGTGCCACGTACCAATACTTAATGAGAAGGAACAAAATTCTTTCCTTTTTGCTAAGGAATAAGCTACGGCTTTTTTAAAAAGAATTTGGAAGAATTTATACGGCTAATGAACTTTAATTAGTGATTAATATTTAATTAATCACCTATTTATGCTTAATTAACTTTTAAGCATAATACTTAATTACCAAAATTATTCCGAACGTAAACGGTACGTCGAAAATAAATTTCGGTAATCTCGACTAAAAATAATTAATTCCGAAAATTAATATTCGACAATATTAATATATCGGAACTAAAAACATGATTTATACTAATAAAATAACGGGATATTACAATCCTCCCTCCTTAAAAATTTCTGTCCTCGGAAATTCAAACATAACTGATAATACATGAACTATGTACATGGAACATAAAAATATGTACATCAAAACTGAAAATCTAGAAAGCGTGCGCGAATATCGGACTCCGCCTCCCAAGTAGCTCCGTGGCGATCCCACTGAATACGCACGAGGGGAACACCTCGCTTCCGGAGCCGACGGACCTGACGGTCTAGTACAGCTATCGGTCGCTCCTCGTACGAAAGATCTGGCTGAACCTGAATGTCCGAATGAGGAATAACATGATCGGGGTCGCACACGTACTTACGTAACATCGATGCATGAAATACATTATGAATGCCTGATAACTCGGAAGGTAGAGCTAATCGATATGCGACTTCGCCCACTCGCTCGAGAACCTCGAACGGACCGATGAATCGAGGGTGCAGCTTCCCTCTCTTTCCAAATCGAACAACTCCGCGAATCGGACGAACTCTGAGAAAAGCTGGCTCGTCAACCTCGAACTGAATATCTCGTCGATGATGATCGGCTGAAGATTTCTGTCGACTCTGAGCTGTCTTGAGTCTTTGCCGGATCAACTCGACCTGATCCGCTGTCTCCTCGATCAACTTGGGACCGAGTACTCGTCGCTCTCCGACGTCGTCCCAATAAAGAGGGGAACGACACTTGCGACCGTAAAGTGCCTTGTAAGGAGCCATCTGAATGGAAGAATGATAGCTGTTGTTATACGCGAACTCGGCGTACGGCAACAACGAATCCCACTTAGCACCCCTGTTAACAACTAAAGCGCGAAGCATATCCTCAAGCGTCTGAATAGTCCGCTCTGACTGACCGTTTGTCTCAGGATGGTAGGCTGAACTGAACTCTAGCTTCGTGCCCATCGCCTCGTGTAAACTATGCCAGAATCGACTGACAAATCTGGG